TGTATCTGTGTGTGTATATAGAATACGTTCTGCTCCATATATCAGTGGTGATTGTTGAGGATGAGCTATCATTAGCGTTCTTGTTAAATGTGATTTTCAAGGTTACCAGTGCTTTCCGCTGATGGAGATGTCAGCATTAAATAATCAGGGTATTTCAAATACACAGATCAGTGCTTTGTTTAACAAGATGAGTTTGAGCTTTTTTCCGGCTTGCTGTGCTGGGATGAAGGAAATAAGGCAAAATGCTAATGTCAGTGACAAAACTACCTTTACTTAGAAAGATCAAGTAATGCAGATATAAATAGCAGTGATTCATAATAAACCGAGTTGCAGCTGGAGTCTTTCTGGAGGAAGACAGAGATGACCAAAGTTTGACACTTTAGAAAGTGGGTGTAATATTAAGTAGCTTTTCATATTTGTCGCTATATATATATATGTGGCGATAGGTAAGAGGAACAGTGTCCCTTGGATTTCTACAACATTTAGTGAAGAGGCTTTCTTAATATAGAAGAGTTGTTTGCTGGGATTGCTGAGAGTCTCCATTTCACAGCCTGCCTTGGGAGGCTGGGAGCTTCCCTTCCTGTTTCAGGCTTCCATTCTGTCATCCGAGAGCTAATAATAGTACTTTAATGAAGTAGTGGCTTGAGAAAGGGTAAGCATCTTGAAAAGGATGTGTGTGCCCCATCTGAAGAATCTTGAAACTAAAGACTATTGAAAATTTCCATTTGTTATCCTAGGAACCCATCTCTAAGAGTTGATTTAAACAATACATGTTTTCTGTGGGTTTGGCAGTCTGTTCTGGGGTAGAATATCATGCAAATGATAAATGTTAACTTTCATTGTTGCTTAAAAGAGTTATTCCTGCATGGGAAGAATAATTTTAAGTATTTACTTGGTAAATGTCTATTGAAATAGAAACTTTGACATGATACTAGAATGCTTTTCTTTGCTTTTTGAAATAGGTATAAAAATGAATCCTTGGTTCTTCAAGTGTATGATAACAGAGCATTGCTCACTGATTATTACAGTCTGAACTCACATACAGTATTAGTGGTAAATGATGATCTAGGTTTGTGTAAATCTAACTAGAATGAGTTTCATTTATTTCCTTTTTTTCTTTTCCCCTGCTGAAGTCAGCAAAGAGTCTTGTTAAATAGCTTTAATTACATATATCTCTTGTCATGCATTTATATTCTCATCTGGCTAAAATTTTTTATCTCTCCTAAATAGGTTTGTTTCAAATTATTTACAGTTTAAGAAGGCATTTTTAACACGAACATTTACCTTGCCAAGCTAGCTGTAAACAGAATTTATAGGGAGTTTATTTACTACATTTTCTGTCTATACAGCTGCCAGAGATGTGGTAGTAAACTTGGAGGATTTTTCTGAGCTCATGTTGCAGTAAAACTATCATTTTATTACAAGACCGGGGTGAATTATAGTCTTTGTTATAAAAAAGGGCAACTGTATAAATTAAAAAAAAATAAATTCATAGTTGAGCAAAAGCTGTTATGATAGAGTTTCCAGAGAAAGAATCACAGGCTTTTAGATGCAAGTCCAGTCTCTTATTGGAGATGTTGAAATTGACTTTCACACTCAGCCTTTTCACAGCAGTTCGCAGACACTCATTACTCTCTCTCTCTTATTCCTGCTCCCTTGAGTCACCTGTTTATACAGCCACTCTTCTGCCAGTGATTGAAGTTTGTCTTAAGAAGGCTGATATATCATCAATACTAACCTTGGTGTTCCAAGGTAAGGATTTTGTGTAGCAAGGACCAGAGAGAGGACCTACATGTGGTATCTGTAATTTCATTGTAGTAAAATGCGTAGTTGGCTGTCTGTAAACAAAAGCTTCTCTCTGGTGAATAGAAAAAAACCCCATCAGTGCTATTAATTTACTCAGTGCAATGAATTTACCTATTGACTTCTTGAAGTAGTTGGACACCTTCCATTTGATAGAAGATAGTGATAGAACTGCAGTCAAGATCCTTGTATATCAAAGTAAATATCCCTGTACAAAGGATTACTTTAGTTGTTTTATTTTCCTCCATGGTATGTAAAGGACTGGGAATGGATCATAAAAGCCAAAGGCTTAAGAAGCCTTTGGTTTTATGATTTTAGATGGATGCTTTTTTATCTCTTGCTTTGACGGTGAGAGAAAATTCAGAAAAGCAAATGGAGATCAGAAATTGGAGAAAATGGCTGCCCAGACAAACTTTCAGTGTTACTGTTTTCTAACTCCTAGTCAGTGATTTTTTGATGTAACTAATGAGATTAAAAAATGAGAAGAAAAAAGATTATTAAAATTATTCAAAGTACTCTTACATAGCTCAGATGAGTCTCATGTAGGCTTTTCTTCTTAGAAGAAGTTGGATGATCAAGGAGTATGGATTAGTGGAGGGATTTGTCTGCTGAAGTATATTGGCAATATATGTCCATGAATGATAGAAACAAAACATTTAACTGTTGAAAGATTATGTCTTTCAAACCCTTTGGCTTTTCATGTTATTTATTCAATACTTTCTTAATGGAATTAAGGGGTATTTTAGTTGTGGCCTTTATGATGCCCTGTGACTAAAGTAAGTGAGAATGAAAGACACAATTCTGACAGTGGCTGCAGGAGGTTTGCTTTCTGCTATGTACTATTAGGCTGTAAATCACACATTTATTCTTCCTAATGTAAGGTTTAGTTGAGTGAAATTCTCTGGCCAGAATGAAGTCAAGTAAGATTGGATCTTTGATAGCCTTATTACCTCAGCTGCTTCATATATGCTTTAACTAGTGGAGTGCAATACCTTTGTTTATGCATGATATTAGCTGGGTCATAAAAGTTATATGCCTTATGAATGAATAAGAGAAGAAAGAATTGTTACCAAATGACAGAATGGGATGATGTTGGAGAGCACCTAGTCCAGCCCACCTGTTCAAAGCAGAGTCAACTAGAGCAGGTTGCTCAGGACCACTGGAAGAGTCTGGCTCCATCTTCTTTACTCCTCCCACCAGATACTTAAGAACAGTGCTAAGATCCACCCCCCCGAGCCTTCTCCAGGCTAAACAACCCTAGCTCACTCAGCCTCCCCTTGTATGACAGATGTTGCAGTCCCTGATCATCTTCATGCTTCATCGGTGGAATTGCTCGAGTACAGCTCTATCTTTCTTGTACTGGGGAGCCCAGATCTGGACCCAACACTCCAGATGTGGCCTTAGTAGCACTGAGCAGAGCAGAAGGATCACTTCCCTTGACCTGCTAGCAACAGTCTTCCTAAATGCAGCCTAGGATGCTGTTGTCCTTTGCCATGAGGGGACATTGCAGGCTCATGTTCAGCTTGTTGTCCACCAGGACCCCTGGGTCCTTCCCTGCAAAGCTGCTTTCCAGACTCTTGGCTCCCAAGCATGTAATGGTGCGTGGAGTTATTCCTCCCCAGGTGCAGGACTTGGCATTTCACAGTGTTGATAATTTAGGAAGATTCAGTATTTATGTTTACTTTTTTCTATAAATTAACATTTTGATCTGAAATAGTTTCACTATGAAAATGTTAAAATGGAACTTCCTGACAGTTTCAGACTACCCGCAAGGACAGTCATGAGAATTTTTTTTTTTTTCCTCTGAACATATTTTTAGGGAAAATCCCATCACCCTGCCCCAAATGTCAACAGTGGACTAAAGCATTCTTCACAAAACTCCTCATCACCTTTAGCAAATAATTATTCTTATTTATGGGATGCATTTACTGTGTTATTTATGCAGGAGTAGTGTAATTGAAATATTTCTTATTCTTCTCCACCTATGTCATTTCCAAGACATATGTTGCCAACACTTTTTACTTATTTAGAGCACTTGCACATTTTTGTTGGCTTTCTGACTAAGCTTCTGATGCTCGCATGCTTTCTGCTCTGTACTTTGTCAGTAACTCTGTAAGTGAATGTCAGTGAATGTCTACAATAAGCAGAAATTAATAAGACAAAAAATTACAGGATTTTGAATATTTAATGCTTTCAAAAGTAATTATTTTTAGAACAACTAGTGGTTTGATTGATTTGTCTTTTAGGAAATACACTGTTGCTCTTCATGGAGTAGCAGAAAACTTGTGTGATGCCTTTCCTCATTCTTGGTAAAACAGAGAATCAGGAAGAGGGTCTCAGGACTGTCTTTTTGGGAATGTTTCAGTGTGTTTTGTGAAATGTAGAAGTCAAAATTAGTGTAGTCAGATTTGAACCACCAAAATAAGTGTTTCAAATTCATAGGTGGTGAAGATATTGTCAAAATAACTGAAGGTTGTACAAAACATTTAAAAGTTTAAGGAGAATTTTAGGAGCCCAGCTTTAAAAGCCCACTTTGCAAACCAGAGCCAGTATTTCTTCATGTTTTCAAAATTTTTAACTTAGTGTATGTAACAATTTTTTTCTTTATCAGAAGGAAATGGTAAAGAAATTTTGTGAAATGGTTCTGTTTCTAGGTATGTTATTAGAATTGGATTATATGGTCTCGAAGAATGATTGAACAACTTGATTCCATGAGAAATATTGTAAGGAAAATACAAACTAGGTATTATCTAGATAAAAGTGGGCAATTCTTCATTGAACCACTCGGTGAAGGTGTCCTTAATCATGACAGAAAAAGCAAAAGCCTCTCTACTGTACCCAATACACAGAGAGTTGTTTTATGAAACAAATTTTTGTCTCATCCAGTTTTTATTGTATTTTTATTTGAATTTTTTATTTAATTTTTTTTTTCCACCCCTTGAAAATAAGTGTTAATTTCCTATGGAACTGGAGATCAGAAGTAGTGATGCATGCTGTCTTCTGCTGATGTGGTGGTACGTGTTTCCTTTTGATGTCTTCTTTTTTTCTCACTAGAAACTCTCTCCTTCTTTTGCCCCAGTATTTTTCTCAGTGGAAAAAAAGGCAATAGTAGACTTGAGGCTCAGGAATTTGCCATAAGAAAAGCAGGATATCCTCTAAGATGCATAACCCCTATGTTTGTAATTACTGCAGTGCTGCATATGATGCCATCCTTGACAGAAACGTGGCCATTAAGAAGCTCAGCAGACCATTTCAGAACCAAACTCATGCCAAGCGAGCTTACAGGGAGCTGGTCCTCATGAAGTGTGTGAATCATAAAAATGTAAGTTTTCAATAGGTAACTGGAGAAGTAGTATGTATATTGGTTTGTTAGAAAGAAAACTGTTTTGTTGGATGCCTTTTTAAAACAGAAGAAATTAAAAGTAAATTATGCTCAGTCTACAGTCTTTCTGTTACTATATGCCCACATGAGAGAGTGAGGATCATCCATGTGCTTATTTAAAGGCTATGCCAAATGGAGGTGCTGGTAGTAGGGTAAGGCTGATAGAAGGGGAGAGAGCAGAATATGTTCTTGTCAACTGCTTATCCAGAAATGCATAAGTGGTTGTTGGAATCCTGGCTCCATCCTCTTGTCACTGCGATTTGTGACTCAAAAGCAGTGTCTCTCGAGTTGGAGTACAAATGCACAAGCATCACTCCTTGCTCTGGACTTCATCTGAAATCTAGTCATATAAATGCATTGTATAGATTGTAAAAGATGAGGAGTCATTATGGTCAAGTTTGCTGCAAAACTGCCGAAAAAAATTAGGAACCAAATGCACTTTTCCATTCTCAGGTATTCGTGTGTAAGCTAATGTTGTGGAGCCAGGGACTCTGAAGCCTCAACACATAATGCCGTTCCTTCTAATAACAGTGTTCTTGTTGAAATAAACAGCACTAGCAGGTTCTAGACTTTTCTGCTTCCTACACCCACTACCTATTGTATAACATTTAGCATCCATAACAAATAAAAATATTCCTACATTGCAGTAAAAGAGTTATTCCAGGGCTGTATCTTAACTGTAGCCATCTATCTATTAGTTAGAACTGTCTGCCTGACACTGGATAAGCTTGCTTTTTTCTAGTGAGATATGTGGGATTTCCCCATTGCGTTGTCAAGGGATCTCCCAAGGATTTAATTTTCATACAATTCCTCAATTTCTGCTGTGACTTGGTGCCATACTTGTATGCCCTTTCCTTTTTATTAGGAGTGAATTTTTCAGTTTGCTACATGTTTACTCTTGCCTCATATCCTGCAATAATTCTTTCTCCTTATGCAAAGCATAAATGAGCTTGAAAAGCATGATGTAAGGTGAGAATTGACACTTGTTCTCAATCACAAATTCGCATGGGAAAAAAAAGGACTGACCCTAAAATGGCAAACAGCAGGACTTGTCACCTGTAGTGTCCTCTGTCCCACTTCTGGGCATTGATGTATCCTTACATTTCCACTGTGTTGATCAGGACTGTACCTCTCTCTTCCCTATTGACTTGGATGGAAACTGCCCTCAGTCAGAGCATGCATGGGGCTGAAAATGCAGGGATGAGTGAGTAGTTCTACCTGTAGGTGGGAGACTGATGCATTCTCATTTCATGTTTTTAATGGACTGGAAAGAGCAGAGGGTAGCAGGAGAGGTATTAATTTTAAATATATGATTTTAAAAATGCTGCATAAGAGCTGATAACAGCACTATGTTGGTTGGGTCACAGTTTTAATCTGTCCATACAGAGAAGTGCAAAGGAAGGAGAGGATTGTAAAGGTACCTGTGCAGTGGCAAGAATCAGTCAGAATATGTGGAGTAGACAGAAAGAATATTGAGCCATTCCTGTTAGAAATCCTAGAGCAGTGATGGAGGTGGGGAGGGAGATATTCAGATGTTGTCTTTGTGGTGGCTGTACCGGAATCTTCTGCCTCTCTCTGTTGTCCATACAGAAGGAAAGTATGGGAAATTCAGATCCCTGAGGTCACGTTTTTCCTCTGTGGTGTTTCACACATTCTTATCAGTGTCTTTCAACAGCCAAGCTCATTTATAAAAAAAAAAAAAAAAGTAAAAAAGGAGTCGCACTAGGTAAGATGTCTTTGCCCAGAATGTGTGTACTGTTTTAAAGTGCTTCTACTAAAAAGTGGTACCTCTCATGATGGAATTTGTGTCAGTGTGTGTGCATATGTGCCCTCAAAGGAATTGAGGCCATGTGAGAGAAGGAAGGCTGTAGCACAAGGACTGATATGCTAGATTGGGCTGAGGCTGGTCTTTGAACCTGTAACTTCAAAATTCAGAGGACTGTCTCACCCTTAGCATTTTGGTTTGTCACTGATCACTAATCCTTCTCTCAGAAAACATTTCAAGTGCACCTAGAAGAAATCTTAGACATCTGTGGTATTTTATTTTGAATGTTGCCAACTTTTTACTGATCCTTAAAGTGAGAAGTGTTAGTATAAATTGAGCTATGAAAAAAATAGTTTATCCTTTAACATACACTTCAAAATGGGTTCAGCTGCTTACATTTGTCACTTCTCTTTATCCTTTTGTCTTACTTTGCTTTTCAGATTATCAGTTTATTAAATGTCTTCACACCACAGAAATCTCTGGAGGAGTTCCAGGATGTGTAAGTAACACAGGCAGTAATTAAACTAAAGCTTTAGAGACCTGTGGAGCATTATAGTGTGCCTTGAAGGCAGTAACTCAGCAAAATACGAAAGTTATAAGCCCCTCTAAAAAAGATCATGTATAGTCTGCACTGTGGGTAGACAGATATTCTGCATTCCCATATTGACAGCACTTTTGACACTTACAAGGTGCCAAGTACCGGGTTTCCTAAATGTTGTGATAGTTTGCAAAGCCTGCTGGTGGCTCTTCTTGAGAGGCTTAGTGCGTTTGCATTTGCCTTCACATGCAGAGGAAGGGGTATGAATAGGTAAAAGAGCCTGCTTTTCTGTTAGTAGTTTGCTTGGGACATGATGGTTGTTACGTGACTACCCGATGTGTATGAGGTTTTGAAATGTGGCATTTCATTCTGAAATCATTTCCAATAAAAGAGACTGATGTGAAACATTTCCTCATTTCATATTTGTTTTGATACAGTCTTTGACTGCATAAAATTATTTGCCTGGGGAGCTAGTGCTGAGTGTAGGGGACAACTAGCACAAGCATTACTGTGCGTAGTATGGGCTTGCCCTGAATGAAATTTTAAATATTTGATGTTTTATATAGTTGCACTCCTTTCATCTTTCAGTCTTTCCCATATTCTGTATACATTGTATGGAAACGTATTCCCATTCTGTACTCTAATATCAGTAGTTTTAACAGACAGATAGCAATGGCTGAAGTCAGGCGACTACTCTTCAGGTTTTGGTATATGGAATTTCTGCATAATACTGTCACTGCAGACTTGTGCAGAGCAGGGGAGGTAACAAGTGCTGGAGAGAAGACAAAGTGCGCAGCTCACATTGAAACAGAGAGCTAGTGTTTTCCCCAAAGTTTGAGAGTGCTTTAATGTAATGTTACAGTTATGATTCAGCTGTGCCTGTGAGGTATCTCATAAGAAATGAGCTGCTGTGTTTAACATATTAAATTACCCCTAAAGGGGATCGGGTTAACGTTCTGCTGAGGTTGTCAGTGAAGCTTATTTATCGGAAGCACAAAACCAGTTAGTTTTAATAAGAATTATGCAAAGTCATGCAATCTTAGGAGGATTTTTTGAGACATTTTGCATGGGGATGCATATTTGAGCCTGTCAGATATCTCTACTACTCTCCAATTCCTACATGTATTGTGGTAGCCATTCCTTATAAAGGTCAAAGGCATGTCTTCGGTGTTGGTGGCTCTTCTGTTTTCTGCACATTTCAGAGTCGTGCTGCCTGTTTGCCCATGTAGGGTACAGTCTCTGTCATGGGGAAGGCACCAAGAAAAGGCCAGCAATCCACCTGTTTTGCTGGGATGCTGAAAGAATGGTGTCTCTGCAGTGAGATGGTGCAGTGAGAAAGAAACACCAAATAGTACCATTGTGAGTGGGCCCAGTCTCCAGTTGTGTTACTCCCAGTCATCAGAAATAAAGTGAATTTTGAAGCAAGAAAAGGCATTGTTACTTGATGCTGTGGTTCCTCTTCAGTACAGACAGTAACGCTACGACTTTGCTTTTTCATTCAGTTACCTGGTAATGGAGTTAATGGATGCCAATCTGTGCCAGGTCATTCAGATGGAGCTAGACCATGAGCGAATGTCTTATCTACTGTACCAAATGCTCTGTGGTATCAAGCATCTTCACTCTGCAGGAATTATTCACAGGGTAAGAGACCTTTGGTTTAAAACTGAGGACAGCATATGACATCATCATGTCATTTAGAAACCACTTGAGTTTTTTGTGTATTGTGGATCTTACAGTAAAATGACTATAAACTTACGAGTTGTAGTCCATCCCCTTAGAGTAGCTTCATGCTTGTGTTAGGAATGAGATTTGTGAACTTAATCAGACCAAACAGTAATGTGATTATTAAAAATAAATAATAACCAAATAATAAGCTCTGGAAATCATCAAAGTGCTTATGATCTCTGAAATGTGTAGATAAATGTTATTTCTCCTGAAAATGCATCTGGCTACATCTACCACGCATAACATTCAGATACTTTGAATTGAGGTAGTGTGGTCCAAGTATGCTTGATCAGGATCTGCAGAGGTCAGGGCATATGGAATTGGCATTTGCCATCACTTATGTGTGCTAAAACAAATGGTAATACTTCTAAGTCTATATTAAATGCATCCTCTCATTTTGCTTTTCTACATCAGAGTGCTGTGTCTGGTAAGGACATGGTACCTGGCTGTCAATGCCAGAGGTAGTGCTACGTTTGATTGTTGACAACAGAGGGAACAGTTCATGTGACTGTGAGCAGGAGGCAATTCTGAATGGATTGAATATATCCTGAGTGCTTTTACTAATGTGGGATTTCCAGCTGAAAAAACAAATACAAAAATATTTTCCTTCCGTTGTGAGAAGAAGAAAAGAAGGGCTAATAAAGTGGGTTACAAAGTGGATGTTGCTTTACAATATATCAAGGTCTCCTTTCTTGGCATGTTGCAAAGGATGATAGATTTGGCTTCCAGATAGTCATCCAGCAAAGGATGAGTTGAAGTATTATAAATTAAGCATTAAGGTATGTCCATATGCACAGTTGGAATGTCTCTATTAGGCTTACAGCATTAAAAAAAAAAATACTCAAAACGTAACACTAATCCTAGTTTCTTGAACTACTAAATGCAATAAATTTAACACCAGTAGGATCCTGTTAGCCAGGAGAAGCCCCACAGTATGGCATGTTAGAACAACTTCAATAAGAGTTTGCCAGAGAAACAGTAGCAAGGTTTTGCTGTGTATTTACAAGTATTTCTGACAGGAACTGTAAGAGTCAGAAGAGTAAAAGAATATTTGAAAAGTGACCTAAAATATCAGTCCATATCACAGCTGTGCTTGGCTTTATGAAGGACAGTCATGTCTTCTCCCTGTCTTTTGCAGGACTTAAAACCAAGTAATATTGTGGTAAAATCTGACTGCACATTGAAGATTTTGGATTTTGGACTGGCCAGGACAGCAGGCACTAGCTTCATGATGACTCCATATGTGGTGACACGTTACTACAGAGCACCAGAGGTCATCTTGGGAATGGGCTACAAGGAGAACGGTAGGCCTGCAATTTCACAGCAAGCACAGTGCAACCTGAACTGTAAGGTCTGCCTCTACAATTGTAAGGGGCAGCAGAAGGAGAAAAAGAAAACATAATGGGAAATGACATCTTGAATTTAAAAGGCAGGTCATTTGGAGCAGTTTCTCACTGTTGCGTACTGCAGCTACAGAATGTATTTGGAATGCAGTGCTGGTGAATATATCAGTGTGGGATTGCAGAGTAATGAGAAACTTGTTTGTAGTTATGGTTGAACTTAACAAATACAATTAGCTCTTTCTGACCAGAATGTCTTTGGCTTCTGTGGCTGTGAAACGGTGTGGGAACCACTGGAATTGCTGAATGAGTGATGTGTTCTAAATTTAAGTCTAGGTCTCTGAATTGTTTGAGGGAAGAAGAGGAGGTACAAGCTGAAATAGGGAAACCTAGCCCTTCCAGAATTTCTCCAAATCCAGAGCTAGATCTGAATTTCAGGAATGGTTTCTATGTTTATAACAGGCTTAACTAAAGTCCCAAGTTTTGCTGAGAGGTTTCATGTGGTCAAGATCTAGGTATAAATTTTGCAGTTTGAGACTTTTCTTTTAATGGAATGTAGAGTTGGAGAGACAAGGGAAAAACTGAAGCTAAAACCCCATGCATCTAATTTGTATGTAATCTCCCTAAATGTAAATAGGATTTTGCTCTAAACAGCCTCTGAGGGATCTAGATACCTTTTGGTCCCTGGAAAGACTGTGAAAAGCAGGTAGGGGATGCTGACTATAGAGAAGCAGGTAAGGAAGAATTCATATTTTGCAGGGGATGAAGGTAAAACTTCATAAGTGAGTCTCATTTTGTAACAAAACTGAGAATTGCATCTGAGTGCCAGGTAGACCAGGCATGAAAGGAGAGGATGCAACACGTAGTGGAGAAAAATCTGCTATGACTCAGATTCTGCTGTCAAAAGCTACCACTTGTCTGTTTGACAAGGAGACTTTTCAATGAGAAATACAGCAAATGTCAAAACCAGAAATTTATTAAAAAGTCTCCTACTTAATTTACATTAAAGAGGTTAGCTAACCTGCGGGCGAACTTTTACTAACAGCCAACTGCATCCTGTAAAGGGCAGTGAAACTGATTTTGGGAGCTGATTCCATGACTTAAGCAAGAGTCAAGGCATGCTCACACAACCTCTTCCAAAATTAGCAAGTGTCTGCATGAATCATTTGTAATGTTTATGAATTTACAGTACACATTTTAATATGAAAGTCTAAAAAGTAGAGAATTATTAACAGAGTCTAAGCATACAGAATTCTTAAAGTATTTTATAATTGGTATTTTTTGTAAGTGCCATTAGAAATTTGATGTAGGCTCTGAATGCTTTAGATAGTTCCTTAGTCAATATCCAGAGTTCCTTCTATTGTGAAATGAATTATTTTGCATTTATTTTTTTTTCTCTCCAGACATTAAGTAGATGATTACCATTGTTGTTGTTATTGTCCCTGAAAGGACAGAGAAAGCACTCGCTTTTCGCATGATTAAAATCGCACCAAGAAAAAGTTAGACACGCTTTTGCGATGAAGTACACAGCTGGGAAGGTACTAAGAATGTTTGCCACATCCAAAGGTCCCTGATCAAATGCCCATTGGAGTTAACACAGAGACTTCCTTTGACTTCCCTGGGCAATGAATCTGGCTCAAGATGAATGACCTTGTCTTACTTGTACAAAGTGAAAATAAAGTAAACAAAGAAAACAAAATATTTGAAAATGAAAGTCAGCTGTCTGAGGAGCCAGTCTGCATAGAGGCTCTGATCCAGCTCCCAGGGAAGTCAACAGAAAGGGTTGTTCTTTGCTTCCCTACTATGGCCTATGCAGCCACATTACTGAAGCTCCCCTACTTTTTTTTTTTCCTCTTACTATGTACACTGCCTGTATAAGGACTGTTCACTGCTTTCATTTTCTTTCTGCACTTGGTTGGCTAAAGATGCATAATTATCACCAGTTTGCTGCACTTCCGTGGAAGGTCCCAAAACTGTTACTATGAAGAAAACTCTGCCACTGCCTCAGGCATGCTCTTGCTGTCCCATACCCCGATACCTGTACCCTCCTTTTCCCAAATGGAACATTTCACCTTTATTTTGTTTTACCAAGAAATGAGTTGTTTGTTTGTTTCTTTGGTTTGTTTTGGATTGCTTTGGAAGGATAAAAAGAGGGAAGAAAAAAGAGGAGAAACTGGTTGTGTAGGTCAAACGACCACAAAACGAGGATTCAAAGCTGAGAAACAACATAGTCTGTTAAAGCATTTGAAAGCAGATTTTTCCCCTTCACATGGAATACAGGTCTTTTCTTTCTGTGCATACTGTGTCATTATCTATCTAGCCTTTTTTCTTGTAAGACTTAAAGGGCAAAAAAACCCCCACCCAAGTCAAGCAGATAATGTAACTATGCATATTGCATCTAAAAGCTGAAGGCAGGATCAGGAGGATAAGAAATGGTCTCAGTCTTGTTGGTACTTGTCCTGCGAAGCATTTGGTTTAGCATTTATTTTCAGTATCTACACAATAAAAAGCAGAGTCCATGCTCTCCAGTTCTTTCCAGTTACATATAGATACATATAGATAGGTACATAAAGGTAGGACATAGGTACAGATCCTGAAGCAGGAGTTTTAAATAACCCTTAAGGATGGTATTTATCCACATGGCCTTTACTTGTGTGAGCAGTTCCACTTGGAAACTCTTGCGTACTGCTGCAGAGAAAGACAGTCCTGCAGGACAAAGCCTACAAACTGCCTGGCTGCAAGTAGGATTTATTCCAGATGATCGTTGTCTGGGTTTGTTTTTTCTGCTTTTGTTTTTTCTTTAAAAAAAAAAAAAAAAAAAAAAGCTGTTTTTTTCACCATAAACTCAGTGTATACCACAGGTCTGTGCAGTTGTTACTTGATCTTTACTTGCTAGCTGTGGGCCTTTTCCCAGAAATGTTGATTTAAACTTTTTCCACCATTGTTACTAACTACCATTGAGCTGACTGACACAGTCTTTACTTATTTACTTATTTATTTTAGCTTTTGGTGAGACATGAAAAAAAGCCAACAAAACTACAAAACAAACTGTACTGTTCTGATCAACCTGCTCTTTTTCCCCTCCTTTAGGAGTGAAATGTCGTAGTTAACTCTGCTTTTTTTCCTCCTTCTTCACTTCCCTGTCTCTGCTGTTCTAGTGGATATATGGTCTGTGGGATGCATTATGGGAGAAATGGTTCGCCACAAAATCCTCTTTCCAGGAAGGGACTGTATCCTTGTGCCATTTGCTGCAGCTTCACCTATTATTTGTTCCTCTCCTCCACCCTATCCCTTTTACCATATAATGACTATACCAGGACTTTAAAGATAGAAGCAAAAAGTTGAATCCCAGAGGTATGAGTAAATGAAAATAGTGTACCACTGATATGATCAAAATTGAAAATGAAAAACAGATGCACAGAATTATTTCAGTCAAATAAGTTGCTTTATTTTAAAACCTGTAATCATTCCATGTTATGTAGTCTTTATGTCATACTAATAAGCAATATAGAAAACAAGCATTATAATTGCAAATTGGATAGCTTTACTTATTTTTCAAGGGAAAAAAGGAAAGAAACCTAACTTGGCCCACCTGCTTCCTGTAAATCTGTTTTTCTGCTTTTATGTTTTGGAAATAGTGACTTTATAACATTTGTGGTGACATCATAATCTTGTGCTTGCTAATGCATCATGGATTTGGATTCATCTCAGTGCTGTATGGGCTCAGAGTTGAGTCAATACAACATTTTTTTCTTTAAAACAAAATAAGGAATTTGACTTGCCCAGTTTAAGACAACTGTTTATCTGCTGTGGTGTCCAAATTGGCCTGAAATCAGATTCTCTTGATTTAAAAATGGACTTTCCTTTACTTGCATGAGGTCTGTGTTGTTAATTAAACTGTATTTCCCTCCCATCTTGTTCTTCTTGTCTTGGGTGATACTACTTTTACCACTTCCAAGGTGGTAAAAGCAATATTAGAAAATGAAAACAAAAGAGGAGGTGTCTACTTAGCCTTTGGTTTATCACAGGCTAAGCCAGACAACCTGCCTGTGATGGCTGGGAAGTGTAAGAGTGTGTATTTTGCCCATCAGAATAAAATGTAGCAGCATAACATGTTTTTCACTTTCAGAAATAAAAAGGCATATTATTTTCAGCAGGGTGGCAGAAAGGCACCATAAAAATCTGGCATCAGCAGATACTGGCAGTTGGTGTGGAGAAAACCCAGCTTTTATAGACATGTAGTCATGGAAGTAATTTTTTTTTTTTTCCTCTGGCTTTTGAGTGATTCCTGTAGTGTTTGTCAGAGTTAGGTCCTGCCTGTCCTATTTTCACAGCTGTGTCAGCTTTCTCTGAAAACGGAGCTCTGCCGGGTAGCCAGGTTAAGATGCAGTTGTACTTTACTAACAGGTAAATGGGGAAAATGCAGGTACCTCCTGTTTGCTGAGGAGGAAAGAGCAACATTTTGTACTGGCTTCCAGTCATACAGGAATATGGACTGGAAAGTTATTGGATGCAAAACACAACAATGAAGTAAGAATGGTGTGTTTTATTATTAGTGGATAGCTTTGAGGTTGTCACTTCTTAGGTGCTGAGCTTTTCCTGCAGCACGTGGAGCAGGCTGCACACCCACCTTCTGCTGTAATCTGAATCTGCAGAGCAGCTCCCAGCATTCATGAGGCCAGTAATTCAGTGTGATAGTTATGCTCTGTTTCAGTGGTAACACCACCTCAGAAACACCATCATAACTCTTCTTCCAAATACTGTGCTTTTTTCCTCTTTTTTTAATGTACAAAGAAAAACTAAATGATCTATAATATACTTGAGGTTCAGCTGTAAATACTGAGGATATTTCCATTTAATCTATTTGGAGAGAAGTCTGATTGAGTTTTTAGTTGATAAGCAACTAGAATACAGAAAAAAAAACTATTTCAGTGTAAAAAACGTAGCACCATGGATAGTACGTTGGTCTCCTTTTTCAACAACAAATTATATTTAAGAGTCGTGTTCTTCTGCCCATTTCCAGAAAAAATAAATGCTATATAATTTAAACAACATAGCTTTTAAAAAATCATTCAGATGTGAGAATTACTTTGTTTCTGTCTGGCTGTGACAACAATCTCTTGTGACAGTGTCTTATTCAGGGAAAGCAATAGAATATTTTTAAAATCCTTTTAAACATTTCAGTATCAGTTACAAATAAAAACTGAATTTTTGAACAACGCAGAAAACATTGTGTAAATTGTGGGATAGTCCTAATTTTTAAATCATTGGAAATCCCATACCCTAAAATGCAGTGTATGTGGGCTGGGTTACAACTGCTACCACGCTTTAGTGGTGGGTTTATTCAGGTTCATTGGAAGTTTAAAAAAAAAAAAAAAGGGAGGGGGGAAAAGAAAAAAATGGAACCTGTACATTCATTTCCAAGTCAATACTCATTTGTTAACCAGTTTGACCCCATGAATAAGAGTTCTCAGTGTTAGAAAGACTGGTTTGTGTATGGGTCCATATTATTTCCCTTCCTTCCGTGCCTGTTGATGAGCATATCTAGTTTGCCTCCTAGATACAGGAAGAGCTGGAGAAGCGTTTACGCAGCTGCAGGTAAACTTCACAGAACAACATTACAATAAAGCTTCCCTTGGGCTGCTTAAGGCCTTCCAGCAGTGGGTTTTCTAGCTGAAAGAGGCAAGTCTGTACAGAAACTCAAATTTTCAATTCTTTTTAATTATTCAGAAGAATGTCTACTGTGTGCGTTTGGTATCAATATGAGGAGCTTACTCATTTCTAGCCTGGAGTAAGAACATTGATGTATGGCACAGTATACACCTAAGAAAGTTTTAGGGAAAGAAAAATTTTAAGAAGATTAACTAAACCATCGCACTGAGTCACCATTGCACTTAGGTGCTGCTGACTTTAAATTAAATTTCATTTTTAAAGTCTTCATGGAAATAAAAACATGGAGAAGATTCATTTCAGATCATCTCATCTACATAAATAAGAAACTCTAAGTTACTATAAGAAAGCCTTGAAATCTGTGTAGACTACAGGTACCAGTATATGGTAACTGTCCTGCTTAGTATAAATGTAAGTAAGTTATGCATTTTCAAAATTATGTGTATGTTTCTTACCTTTATTAAAATGCTCTCTGAACACGTGTTCAGTTAACTGCTACTTTCATTAGCAGAAAGCCAAACAGTACTTGAAAATGATTGCTCTGTGAATATTGCTGAGGTATTTAATCTAATTGACCTAGTAGGACACTTGAGAGGCAGCAGGGCTAGAGGCTTGGTCCATTCAAATGCTGTCAGTTTGTGATGAGCCAGCTGGTTTTCAGAAAAATAACACCACTCTCCAGCCTCCTGGAGGGTACCGAGTAGAAATTGCATAGCAGATACCTTTGTTCCTTGTTACTCACCTAAAGCAGACATTTCAAAACACTGTCAGGGACACTTCTTTGTCAGAAGTCAGACCCTCATGAAAAGAAATCCACCTTTTTATCAATTACCAGATGGATTTACAGATCAAAATATTCCTGGCAAGTTCTGATAAGCTTTTGTAGTCCACTTCTGAGCTTCTTGCTCAGTATTTCTTCGATGCTTATTCCACTCTTGTTTTAGTTAAATCACAAAGAGTTTGAGCAGCTAAAACCTGCCCAAATTCTTGGATGCTATTGGAAATATACTGGAAAACTCCAGGACCTTCCCCAAAGCTGTGTTCAGATCCAGCTAATAATGTCTTCAAAATCTCATAAGATTTCAATTTAAGGATTGGAAATATATTTCTGTGTGTTTTTTTTAAGAGGAAGGAAAACTTAAAATGATCTGGATGCTTTCGAGTGAGATGATAGATTTATTAAGATCTGAGCTGCTGAGACCACAGTGATGTCCCAACACAACTTAGTGGGGAAATAAAGCAATCAAAAAGCATTTCTTTTCAGTACTGGGGAAGCATGTAAAGGACGGTACTCTAGCAAATTCATGTGTGAGTCCTTCAGCAGATCAAAGGGGAAACAGTGATTTAGTCATAGAAATATATTGTGACAATAGCCGAGTGTCTTCAGTTTGGCTAGGCCTGGATTACAGTGATAAATATGGAAAACAAAACTCCTACTGCAAATAGTTTAGAGTCTAAGACAGTGAAAAGATAAAATACCATTAAGATAGCAAGAAAGAAAAAAAATCCAAACTTATTCTATGTAGCTATGAACATCCAAAATGGATTGTGAAGACAAGTTAATGTTTTCTGTGGACAGATTTTCCTTTGTCCGCCAGCTGTCTTTGAGAATGGTGGGATTAAGAGATGCTCTCAACATCTGACAGAGAGTGTTCTATTGTATTTTCCCAGGAATTTGTATGTTAAAAAAATTGCTTGCCTTAGGGGGAAAAAAATTAAATCAAGAAAGTCTGTTAGGAAAAGATGTTGCCTTTCCACCACTCATTAGCAGAACTTGTCTTTGCATTTGAAATATGATCTGCATTTATTAGTGGATATAATCCTAGTGTTTTGAGTGCATGTTGGGGGTTTTCCTAAGATTTGGTGTAATAAAACATCTGCACTTTTGTTTAGTGCAGTCCATTGTTTTTCATGTTCCCACTAGTATTTTCTTAAGGCCAACAATTAGCATCAGGATTACTTAAAAGAGACTATTAAGAATGGCTGACCTGGGTCTCCAAGTTGGATCAGCTGGTATGCATTAGCCTGCTGCTTAAGTGTCTGTTAGCTATGATGGCATTGATGTCTAAGTTTGGATTTTGTTCAACTGGATGATTCCTCCCTGGGTATTTGGTTTTGGATTCAGGATTTTTCTCAGAATACAGCAAGAGTTTGAATTATGATGATTTTATTGGGGGAAGTTTGCTCATATGAGATGAGGTCTGTCTCAAAGAGACTTCAGTGTAGCTGTGAAGACGATTTGGCTGTTACCATTCTCTTTCTTTCTTTAATTCAGATATGTATACTCTAAGAGTTTATAGTGCAATTTCCACTTAGTATTAAGATCCCCATGCTCTTTGTGATCTGCGTGGCATTTGGAGTGGATCCCAGCTGCTACAATGAAGATGATCCATTGCTCATTTCCCAACACTCACCTTAAAGATTTTCAGCGTGGGTCTGAACATGCAGTTTCAGAAGTGGCCAAGTGTTGAGGTGTAGGCATGTGCTACACCTACTGCTGCCTCATATGAATTTCAGCCAAGGCAAGTTATTTGCCTTTTCAGGCACTTAGGAAAATTGG